CCCATCCCATCCCATCCCATCCCATCCCATCCCATCCCATCCCATCCCATCCCATCCCATCCCATCCCATCCCATCCCATCCCTGCCTCACCGTTTAACACCCTCACAGTGGGGCTGCGCCCGGTGCCGGGTCTCTCACACTCATAGGTGCCACTCTCGGTGATAGTGACATGGTTGCGTCCATTTCGCCACCAGCGCCACCCGTCCCTGTACCAGGTGATGTCACCGATGGTCCCTGAGCCCTGGCAGGTCAGTGTCACTCGGTCCCACAGCACCGCCGGTGTCCAGGGGGGCTCCACGAGGATCTGGGTGCTCTGGGAGCCTGCGGGTGACAGGGGACAGCAGCCTGGCAGGGCCACYGCAGGGTGGGGACAGCAGGGTGGGGACACGGCATCCACTGAGGACTCACCAGCGAGGCCGAGGATCTGGGCTGGAAGGGAGAAGGGACAGGGCTGGCTGGGGGTGGCACTGTGGGGACAACTGTAACCCATAGGGACACCCGTGTGGCACGGATGGGGACACCATGGATATCCCAGGCTGAGGCAGGACATGGGGACACTGCAAACCCCGGCCATGGTGACACCATGGCCACCCTGTGCTGACACCCGTCACCCCCACCAGCCCCACAGCCCCTGTCCCCACAGCCACATCCCCACTGGTGCTTGCCCCCTTGTCCCTGCATCCGTCTGTCCCTTTGTCCCCACAGTTGCCCCAGCCCAGTCGTTCCAGACCCCAAACCCTGTCCGCTGTTCCTGTGCCCCTGTTCCTGTCCCCATGTCACCCCATGACCCCGGTCACACTGGGGGTGCACCCATGCTCTGCTGGCACTGGAGACCTCAGAGGACCCCGCAGCCCCCCTGTGCCCCCTCCCCACCGCTCTCTGCCCCTCCGGGGCACTCACCCCACAGGATCAGTGCCACCTTCCCGGCCATCCCGCTGTCCCCTGCCATCCGGGCTGGCTGTCACACGCTGACTGGGGACACTTGTCTCTGTTGCTGGCGGCTCTTCGGATGCAGGGACAGGAAGCCAAGCTGACGTTTCGTCCCCACCCGTAGGTGGCCCTTGTTGGGGACATGGTGGGGGCAGGGTGGAGACACCACAGGGGACAGGATGGGGACATGGTGGGACATGGTGGGAGATGGG